CTCCCGGAGCCTCTCATTGAAACTCGTTCTTTTTTTGGGACTCCGGCGAGTTTTCGGAGGTGGTCCGTGGTGGTTGGCCGCTGTAGGCGGTGGTGGCAGTGGTGGCTGAGTGGCAGTGGTCTGTAAATTGTTTTAAATACAAGGACATTATTGTCCAAAATTTTAGTTAAACAAGGGTAAAATTGAAATGGGATATTAATGTAAATTTATTTTAAAATGAGGGCATTATTATCCAAAATTTTTATTAATAAAGGATAAAATTGTAACAAAAAAGGATAACCCTGGTAATCTCAGAATACCTAAGAAAATGGAGATAATCAGATTACTTCTAATATTACCAATAGTAACTACTATTGGTATTTAAAGATTACCGGAATCTTATATTACTTGACAATCAAATGTGGTAATCAAGTAATATAAGATGACATTACCCCAATAATTTGACATTATTGCCAACCAAACGCCCCCTTAAGGTTTTCTCATCACAATTACATTATTTGTCGATGGGGTTCTCTTACATTATATTGGTAACATTACAGTCTTTTTAACTCAATTAAGAGAGTAATGTTACTCACTCATGGGTAACCTAGCGGTAAGAGCGAACTAAAAGGGTTGTGTATAGCTTCGATCTATAGTCTCAGGTTAGATTCCTCGTTGGGTGTAAAGATAGTATCTTACCCTACATCGTTATAAAATCCTTTTAATTGTCACAAAATATCACAATTAATCTTGTAATCTTTTGGTTACATGTTTTATTTTCCAATGTTGTAATATTTTTTCTTTTTATCATTGTTTTAAAACCTAGATCGGAAGGTAAACCGTTTTACTGTCTGGATCACGGGTCAACTGGTCCAACTGGTTGGACCGGTCGGTTGGACCGATGACGTTAGCAATATGTTATATTTAAAAAATTATTATTAACCCCTTAAATTTTAATATATTACAAAAATTTCCCTAAAAAAGTTCAAATTGGTCCCTAAAATTTTTATTTATTCAAAAAATGCCCTAATAAAATTACCAATTAATCCTTAAACTTTTGATATATCTCCAAAATACCCTTATAAAATTACAAGTAACCCTCATAATTTTAAAATATTTCAAAAACCTCCTAAGACCTAAACCGGACCGGAGAAGCTATCGGTTCCCGGTCTGACCGGTCGGTTCGGTCTGGTTTTTAAAACAGAGCTTTTCATGTTGATTTGTGACCTTATTTATTACTTGGGTTGAAAGGAATACAGCATGCCAAAACACATCATAATTTATTAGATGGGAGCAGCTGCGACTCTTGTGACTGTGGGGAAGCTAAAGCTTGAAATCAAACCATGCATGATGATGCTGCATAACATGGGATGGCATACCACAGCATGGCATCATGTCATCAAATACGAACATGATGTTGATGATAGTAATTTAATTAAAATATGCATGAAGGAAAAAGACAGACATGCTCAATTTTGAAAAGATGGTATTTCTATATCCGCATCAATAGGTTCACCGTTCACGTATTCTTAAGCACAATATAAAAATAAAAAAAAAAAAAGGGGCTGTAAAGGGTTGACTTTACAGGTTGGGTGGGTTGAGTTTAGGCGGAATCTGTCAGCCCAACCCAACCCAACCTTGTACCTTTTTTTAATTAAATTCACAGGCAACATGGCTCATATGATTCCCGCATCCGCGCGCGCACGCACACACACGCTTGGTTTCTCTTCATTACTTTCACCCTTCTTTTTTATTATTTTTTTTATTTTTTTATTGTTTAAGTTAACAACTTTTTCCCACCTAAATAATGGTTTAATGACATTTTTTCATCCACGTACTTCTAAAATATTATTTTATTACTCAAATTTATATTCCGACAATGAACAGAGAGCAAATTTGATCCAGGCTATTGAGGATTTTGAAGAGAGAAAGTCGATGAGTCTTTTAGTGATGGAAGGTTAGATTTTTGTGGTTGGGTTTGATCGGAATTTGACTTGTGAGGGGTGGCTGCGTAAACCCTAATCGCTCGATTGTCAGCAATTGACATGGTTGGCGGAAGTAGGGTTTGAGACGTTTTGGTGAGTGATGATCGGAAAAGAGAATGATAATGGTGTGGGGTCGGAATCGAAAATGGAATATAAATATGAGTACTAAAATGGTATTCTAAAAGTTTGTGAGTAGAAAAGTGTCATTAAATCATTATTTGGGTGGGAAAAAGTCGTTTACTCTTTTTTTTTTTTTTTTTTTTTCCTTAAATCCCCAGGACCTTAAAATTAATGATCGGATAAACTCTTCAGTGGCCACCCTTATTAGCAATCGAGAAGAATCGAACTCTAGACTTGAGACCCTAAGGTTAACAATCGGGTAAACTTTTTAATATACCCAAAAGTTCCTATCAACCTCCCCACCACCTAGGGTGGTTTTACTTTTGCTTTTGTTTCCTTTCCTCTTCTTATTCCAAAAATATTTTAAGCATGTCATCAATTTTTTCCCTTTATTTATTTCTTTGACTTCTCTTGCAAACCCATATATATATTTATATATATTCGTTGAATTTACCTCAAATTCCATCTCCAAGAAGTATAAAAGTGAAAAAAAAAAAAAGAAAAAAAAAAAAAGAGAAAAAAGGTGCTTTTCTTATAGCTTTTTCAAATTTTAAAACTAGAGATTGGGTAAAATTTTTGTCCGCGTACTAAAAACTTTAATAGCTTGGCACAAAAGAATTTTGGGTCAACTTTATGTTGGAAGATGAGTAGAAGCAAATGCAGACTTCATTAATTGGGGTAGCCATTACTGATGAATTCTCAAGGATGGCAAGTTTTGGACGGCTGTGATTGATATGTCAAGAAGCTCGTGATGTGAGCTCTTTTTGAGGTGAAAAGGCAAAGGCTTTCAGTTCGTGGTTATCTGTAATGTTACATAATAATCATGTAAAGTTGCAGGTGCAATCCATGAATAAGTTGAGAATACACGTGGGTGGAATATAGGTTTTCATGCAGAAATTAACAAAAGTGACAACCTAAAGATTGATTAGGTCAAAAGTTGCCCACTCGTGAGTGACAGTAACCACAATTTTAAGAACGAGAAGAATGAAATGAATGAATGATGGGGTTTTGAGCTTTTGCTTTTTTCTCAGTATAATTTTCTTTTTCGCTGATTGTTAGAATCATCAACTCCATTTGCTTCAATGAGAACACAGATTACACTATCTCTCTTGACCATCACAATCAGCTTCTTGATTGAATAATTGCAGCAATTACTCTTAAATTTTTTTGTTTGTCTTCCTAATTTGTTGAATGCAACTGGACCCAGTTGCTAAAGCAAAAGCAAAGGGCGGGGGCAATGAATTAATGGTGATTGGCGTTGTGTACAGGCAAGAAAGAATTTAAAATTTCTCAATGAAAGAGAGTCAAAGTTTTACTTTAATGGCAACTCAATCGTAAACTAACTCAGACGCCCAAAGGACCATCAATCAACAAAAAGTAAAAGAAAGAAGGAAAGATAATACATATACATATCCGACACGATGCTTAAACTTTTCCAAATTGTCCCGTTAGACAGAGAAAAACGGCTGACTGACTTCTTGCTTCTTGACTCTCCTCCGTTAATCTTGTAAATAAACAGTTTCAAAACCCTACAATAAACCCCTGATTGGGTGGTTTTTGCTATTTTTTTTTTTTTAAAACTTAATTAGTATTGAACCTCCTACATTCATTCTCTTATTCATAGGTGGCCCAGGGAAACACCAATCCTGTCGGGAGCTTATGTTTTACGTGTTTTGTTTTCAAAACGTGGGGTCAGGATTAGGTTAGGAATAAACTAGAGATATGAAGCATGAGAATTGAGAATCAATCAAGACTAGGGTTAAAATATGTGACCGTAAATAGGCCACAGAAAAGAGAGAGAGAGAGAGAAATTATCTGTAATTTGTATGGAAGATTGACGAGGGTAGCTAGGCCAAAGAGTCTTTAAAACTTCATATATAGACAAAGACACATCCGTGATTCTCGACGGAAACGCAGTGCCTATTTTTTCTAAGTTAAAAAAATTTCTCTTGTGTGTGTTTTTGTGGGTGACAGCCAGCAACCAGCAGCTTTTGATTGCTATTTACGCACATTTCCATTTCCATTTCCTTTAATTCTTCTTTTTATTTTTATTTTTCAATTTATTTTTAATCCAACATACACAGGATATCTGTTTTGATGGAACCCAAAAACATTTCGGTTCGGTTCAGTTATTGGGTACCCGCAAAACCGAGTATTCGAAAACCGGTTCGGTTAGCGGGGTATATTTTTGTAGGTACCTGAATATTCGGGTACTATGTTTTTGGTCAAAATCGAAGCGGGTACTCAGTTTTGCATAGCCCTAATAATTAATACTAGCTAATTAACAATCTCCTTACGAATCACTAACTGGTTCAACAGCCAGTTAGGACTTTTAAGTTTATTATTCAAGAGGTTTTGAATTCGATTTACTTGGGTTGTTAATTAAAGCCTTGAATCATGTTAATTTTTGACACAACTAATCCGACATAACTTAAAATTCGGAGTTTAAGTGATAATTATATCAAATTAATGTCTTAGTCAAACTTTTTTTTTTTTTTTTTTTTTAATCGAGTGTCCAGACCAGTTTGAGTACACCTTAATTAATCCTTGTAAGTGATTAGTACAACATCTCATCGCTATGATAACTAGAACAAGTCAAACCCCTTCGGATACAAAATTAAAATACTAAATTATAGGAGTACATGTAAAGTTATATAGCATTTTCTAAATCATAGTTGGCTTGACAAAGATAGATTTCCATATTTTGCCACCATGAAAGGAGTTAGAAGAGCGTGTTATTTACGGTGTTTAATCATCACTGCATAAAAGTATCAATCAATACTTTAAGTTTTCCCTTTCAAACCATTATGGTATCTCTCCTTCTTTCAAGCTATATATATACATACATATATGCAATAACACATGTCATCATGCATGCAGAAAAGCACGACATATTCAATTAAAATAACACAAAAATGGGAGACAGAAAGAGAAAGAGAAAAAGAAGAGAGAGAGATTTCCTCCATATGTCAAGGGGCTAGGGTTTAAATTCCTATTAAAGTGTTGTACTTAATAGTGCAAGTGCTTGGCTGCAGCTATATTCTAAACTATATATATGGATCTCTCAATCTAAGCCTGTCCACTGTGTGAGAAGAATTACAAAATAAAAATAAAATAAAAAAATCAAAGATACCCACGTCACCCTATATTCCAAATCACTGTTCCTTCATCATTTACTCAGAATTATTCCTTCTGGAGAAGCTTGAAATTCAGCTTGAGGAATTCAGATGAAAGGAGTTGATAGTTCTGAAGACGCAGAAAAAACTTGCAAGTCAACAAAAGGAGAAAGCTCAAGCGATAGCTCAGTTGAAGAAAGCGAAAAGAAGGGAGGCTCCGGATCTGCAAGGCAGTATCATCGCTCCAAGATGCCGAGGCTCCGGTGGACTCCGGAGCTCCATCTTTGTTTTGTTCACGCTGTAGAAAGACTAGGAGGACAAGAGAGTGAGTAAATGATTCGTGTTCTTGTGCTTTTCCATCATAGTTGAATGAATATTAAAGGGAAATAAATGAAATCAGAGCTGAAATAGTTTGAATTTTTATCACTACTGCAGGAGCAACGCCTAAGTTGGTTCTTCAATTTATGAACATCAAGGGCCTCAGCATCGCTCATGTAAAGAGTCATCTTCAGGTGCTTTGATCTATATAGATAAGATCGAAATTCAACAATTTTGTCATAGTTTTACTCATTTCTTAACTATTTGAATTTTTTTGATTTGATAGATGTATAGGAACAAGAAGATTGATGACCCTAACCAAGGTAAATATTATTTTCCTGACATCCAAGATTAATCAACTATGGCGACAAAATTAGGGTTTATTTGTTCAAGGATTGTTGCTTTATTTTTTACAGTGATGACAGAGCAAGGACTTGTTTTGGAAGGCGGTGACCAGATATATAATTTGAGCCAACTCCCCATGTTACAAAGTTTCAATAATCGAAGGCCTTCTTCCAGTATAAGGTAAAATAAAAAGGTGCAATTTCTCTCCCTTTTTTCAGTGATGAACTGAGTTTCTACAGATCATTTTAATTAGTAACCCGAATGAGAAGTTGTTTCTTTCTTTCAGTTATGGTGATTCTTCTTGGAGAGGACACGAAAATCAAAGCCATGGCTGTAATATGATCGGTAAGAATGCAGTTGAAAGAGCCGCCAAACATGGACTTTATAATTCAGTAGCCGAGAGACTTCTTGGAAGCCGCAATGATAAATCAATCTCAAATGATCGAATGAATCACAAAAGCAGCAGTTGGCAAATGATTGAAGAACTGAGAAGCGGGATTAAAAGAAAGAGTTTGGATCCAGAATGTGATGACAATATCGATTTGAATTTATCACTGAAGGTAAAATCAAACAGTGATATTCATGAAGGAGTACTACTTGATGAAAATGGTAATTATAATTTGGAATTAGGTGATGAAGTTGATAGTAGCTTGTCTCTTTCTCTGTCTTCATCTTCATCTTCAAAGCTGAGCTGCAGATTGAAGGAGGGAGATCGTGATTTGATGAAGAGGCATCATGAAGGCACAGCCAGTACTCTAGATCTGACTTTATGAATGAGACAAATTTCTAAGTGAGATCCTTAAGTACTTGTGCTCAATCAAAATTTGATGATCATCATTGTCATGATGTACCAGCTACCATATATATATATAAGGTGATCATAATTACAACTTCGCTCTTCTTGTTTTTTCCATTGTTTTGTATGCATGAAATAGAGAGAGAGAGAGAGAGAGAGAGAGAGAGAGAGAGAGAGCGAGCAAGATTAATTAATGGCTGTATAACGAGGTAAATGCATATAAATTTAGATTATTATTAGCAAGATTCTATGCACATTGGGTAATGGGAATTCATTGTCTTAAGAGCTTAAAGAAATTACTACCCAGAAATTGAAATAAAGAAAGGGAAAAAGGGAAGAGTCCTTGAAGAACACAAATGGTCCACAAAGAAACCCTTTTTATTATGTCCTCTCTGAAACTACGTTACCATGAGAATCCCACATTTTTACCATTTTTCAGTCTTATCATCTTGGATGTAGAATAATTAAATTAATCATCATATCAACTGGCTTATTTCTTGAGTCAATCTTTCAGGATATTCAGGAGCCTACCACTCTATCATATCATATCTTAATCAAGTATATATTAAGTAAGTAATTATCTTATATTAATCAAGAATGATATTATATATGTGTACGAAACATATATTCTTGTTGGAATAACTGATAATTAAGGGGTTCTTTGAGTCTACACATGTTTTGAATCAAACACATTGTTTTGTGGATTTGGAAGCTTATGTAGGAGGAAGTTGGGAAGCTCTTATTATTGCACAACTAATTTATTTAATGGTGATCAATAATTTTAGATTAATCTTATTTGCTTTAATTAAATATATATTTATCTGCTGATTGACAGGATTTGCACTGGAAATTAGGTCTAATCTTCATAGATATATAGCAGTTTTTTTTTTCACTAACATCATATAGGGAGAAATGGTCTAAGCTAGAGATGATATAAATCAACACAATATTAGTAAAAGTAAACTTGACCAAGGGTTTATCTTGAGGTAGAATGGTCGGTTTTTTTATGTCTTTATCTGTACATTCTTTTTCTATTTTAATACTACTTAATTACCAAAAAAGAAGAAAAGAAAAAAAAAAAAAAAAAAAAAAAAACTGGACTAGAAAGAGTACATATACTGATACGTTTTACTGATTACATAATACATTCTTTGTGACAAAGTTCTTCACTACAAGTGTATGTATACATTCTTTGTGACAAAGTTCTTCACTACCAAGTGTATGTACTACACAAGTTACATGATTGGGGGTTTTCCAGAGGAGAGTTCATTTGCAATTGTAATTTAATTAGTTCGAATATTTGCAGTATTGATTGTAGAATTTCAATTGTAGTTTTCCATGGTTTTTGAAGACAGTATATTTCAGTACATACATATACATGGATGAACAACAAAATCGTGTATGTAACCTCTTCAAAGAAAAAACCCTTTTTTCTTATCATATTTCTGTTCCTATAATTCGTTGGGGAACATTGGATACCATATAATAATTCAAGGTGTTTCATCATGAATTATTGAAACAAGGAGTTGGTAAATCTTTCAGAAGTACTTGAAGAAACTTATTAAATTGAGCTTATAAATAGTTTGGAAACTTGCAATTGTGATATTCATTAATTAAGCTACATTTTTAATCTTTGCTTGTCAAGAAAGCCATGCTCAATTTTGAAGGATTGGTCATTGGCATACTTAATTATCATTTGACAATATACAGAGAGGAAGAAGAAGAAGAAGAAGAGAGAACGGTCCAGGATTTCATGCTCAAACCTTTTTCAAATCTTAAATTCTCTGCTCTTTGGAATTGAAATTTGTAATGAATCTGCCACTCAATACTTCATATAATTCATAAATGAAAGCATATATTTAAGATGGTTTCTCCAGCAACTTCCATTGGATTCCTAGTACCTTTCGATCATTATAAATCAATCAATTTTATAAGTTTGAAGAAGAAGATGATTCAAAACAATTATTTCATATAAAATTTATTCAAACATATAGTACTATATATACAGTATACAGTATACAGTATACACTCTCCTTTTTACTGGGTGAACAAGAAAAGGACTCCTATCTCTCTTCTCTGTGGTCAATATGAAAACATGTTCTATCAGTCAGAAGTTATATATATAGTTGATTCGAATTCCGAAGAAAAAAGATGTTGCATAATTTCAAAGATTTATTTCAATCAAAAATTATTCAACGAAACGACCTTTGAAATGCTTCATGATGATTAATGTCTCTGGTCCTACATCTGCTATATATAATGAGTTAATATTTGACTAAAATCTATCAACTAAATTCGATTTACACGATGTGTGAAAGCAAAATCTTTCTATTTTACTTTAAGAAGATTGGGATATGCTGCTTCTGTAATGGTTAGCAATAGAGTATATCCAAGAGCAGGATATTACAAAGGCTTCTCGGCAGATTGGGATTTTTGCAAAGAGGACAGATTTTTCCTTTCGCCAAGAATCACAAGAGTAAATTTTATTATCATGATCTATGTGGCATACATACATACACAACGTAATTAAGAAGCATTTAACAATGTTGTTCAGTTAAGCACCCTCCGATATTACTCCAAGGGTCATCAAGAGGTCAAAACACCTTTTTTTTTTTTTTTTTGTTTACTCGGGTGTTTCGGCCAATACCTTATACTACGGCCGAATAAGAACTCTAGTGGTCACCCTTATTAGGTCATAGGACTCAAACTCGGAGACCATGGTAGTCCCTCTCTTGCTCTTTTCCCATCAAAAAGACTCGAATTTGTGAGAACATGTTGATCATCCTTTACTCTTTTACCATCAAGCAATGTTATAATCAACCAGTAAACACAAACTAACCCCAAATCAACAATCACAAAGATTCACACAAATCACATCAACAAAGAACACAAGATATATCGTGGTTCACGTATCCAATTGGATAAGCAACTTCCGCGTTGAGCTCAGAAAATGGGAAGCTCGCTGCACTACTTAGTATTAAGATCCAATCAACGATTACAAGCCTATCAATCTCTATTTGTTACAAGAAACCCACACCGTAACTTCTCCTAGAGACCTCACCTGGAATCCCACGACAAGAGCAAATCAGCCCTCTTGATTGATTACTAAACCACCCAATCAACCCAAGTTACAAGAATTTCTAAACTGAACCAAACAGCTCAAAATAGAGAAGAAAAACGCGAAAAAGAGTAAACCGTAAAGCATAAGAAAACAGCAGCAAAAATTAATTCGTTGACTGTGCATCTCTCTCCTTTTATATTGTTGACTCATCTAGATTCTCAGCCATCAGATTTGGAAGAAATCAATGATCAGGATTTCTTTCAGCCAAATGCCAAACTCTATGTTTCATTAAACTGTAGAGAGACCTTATTTCAGTCTTCACTTCAACAAGCAACTTAATGGTGATTAGGTCAAAGATGTTACTTGTTACCTCCACCAGTACCAACTACAATGTTATTCGTTATAAAGATATTCTAAGAGTAGTTTGAGAGATTCAAAACCCTTAGCCGAAGATCCAAAGGTTAAAAAAAAGGTTGTGTTTAGTATAAGGTAAGACAATAACGTCGTTGCTTTTAAAATACAGTAATTTTACTACTCCTGATGTAAAATTGCTTTAGTATGATGTTGGCAAATTCACTAGAATTTGGCTGACGTCTAACTTTAGGCGAAAGTCCATATGGGCACCAATAATATAATTTGGCATAATATTACAGCAATTTAATTAGGGTTGCATATATAATTGTATTGGATGCTCATAGTTTTACTATTTATATCGTACAAACTATAAAACTATCGTCTCTCTCCTTCACAAGGTCTGTCTTCTCTTTTAACATGAAAAACGTTACCAAAAGTCAAGGCTCTTTAACGAAGTCAAGGTACACAACCTTTCTTCTTCTTGTATTTATTGCTTCTGAAGAAAAGTGGTAGTGAAAATGATAAGACATAATATGCTTCTGAAATTCCACTAGTACTACTATTAGGTAAACGGGAAATTCAACATTCCAAACTATTACATAATCACGTATAAATAATAAAATATTGAATCAATTGATTCAGGGTTTTAGGGATATCTGTTTGAATTATGTGGGTGAGATTTGTTGAATTTCTGATTGATCTTTTTCTCAAGAAACTGCTTTTAATGACGACTTTTAAATAAGTAAAACGTATGTTAATTAGTTTCAGAGAGACGTACGTTCCCTTTTATTACGGATGCAATAAACCCTAAAACCTGGGCTATATTTTATGATCCTAATAAGCCTAGTAAAAGTATCTTATAAAACTATGCATTTAACGAGTTTTATTAAACCAAAACATAATTAATGTTACCACATACTATAGGAAATTTTCCAACACTAAATACTAACATCAATAATAAGCATAATTTACGAAACCAATGTCCCATTAACTTAATTAAAAATAAATCTGTGTACATGTAGTACCATTTATGTATGAATTACCTAACTATATACTGATTAACTCGAGTTTTTGGAGATGAAAGTTATGATACCTCAGTAAATCACTGACCTGATACCAAGTTGAGTACTCAAATTGAAGCTTCTTTTCGGCTTGGTAATGGATCTTCCATGTGCTGCTTTTAGTTGGCTTTCATTTTATGTATAGATATGTTAGCCTGTTGGCTCAGTTTTTGTGTCAAATGATGGATATCATGCATGCTTACTTGCTTACTAACATGTAATCTGATGAGAAACGTTAACTGAAGCCACCATCAAGTCTCTCTATTTTGGTTTCCTTGAACGCATTTGTAGGGATTTAGTCAAAAAATTTCTGATAAGAAATACTTGGAATAATTGAAAGATCATAATTTAACATGGAGACAGATAATGGTGAAACAGGAAGACTAACCAGAAGTTCAAAACAAGTCTACAAGGCCCTGGTTAAATTTAATTTGGATAGAAAGGCTCATGGGCTTGACCGCTTGAAGCCCAAAATCCCAAAAGATCTGACATCCGAGGCGGTTTTAAAAGACAAAAGCACCAAACCAGAGAGTGAGAGACAGAGGGAGACGCAGGACTACTTCAAGAAGAAGAAACGGGTTAATGGTTATGAAAAACTTAACTTCCCGAGGTTAATATTCTTCCCCAATTTCGATTTCATTAGTCTTCCTAATTGGTATTAAGTTTATTATTTTATTCTCTTTGCTGCAACCTCCATTACATGTTACAGCTTGTTACACTGAATTTTGGTCTCTTATTCCTGTAGCTTTGTTGAATTCCATGAAAATTAGTTTATGCACGAATAATTTTTTGGGTTATGAGGTTTTCGTTAAAGTAATGGCAGTTGAGAACCAGACTGTGTTAATTTTCGTTAGATTGTAGAGGTTGGTGCGTTGTGCGCAAACTGTTCGATGAAATGCTTGTGAGCAGTGTTATGTTCTGATTTCTTTATGTTCTCATACGTTTCTTATGAAGACCAGTATAAATCCTTACCTTAAACCTTAATTTGCTATAATGCTTGCAACTTTCTTTGCTTTGAGCAGTGCTATTGGCTTGAAAAACAAATATTAGAGGCAATGGATCTCTCTCCGTTCAAGCGGGACATTGATGAGCTTATAGATGAGTTTGTTGAGGTGCTTTCTATTATTTAAATTTATCTATTTTCTTTACGTTTTTACACCTTTTCTTTCTTTTTGAAATGGGTTTTAACAGTAGTGGAGTTTGGTGATTAACAGGGTGAATTGACAACTTTGGCTGATATGAAGAAAGTTTGGCTTTCCAGAAAGTTCACCTACATTTATGAAGCTAGCCCGTCTAACAATTTGTCCTTCTTTATGCAATCGTTGTATGCCCATACAATTCGTAAGCTTTAATTTTTTATTCGTGTTAATCGCTTATATGTCAACGCAAGCATGTTAAAGTTCCCATTCCCCCATTATCTTTGTTAGCGGTCTTTGCTAAGTTTAGTTTCATTATTTAATGAAATGCAGGTCACATGGTCAGTACTGCTTCTTTATCATGCAGATTAGGTGGACTTTATTGCCTTTACTGCCTATATGAGACTCAACCATTTAAACCTTCTTTCAAGATCTATCTCTCTCTCGGTATGTTTTGACTTAAACTTGATTTTTGAGTTATACTTGATTGTGATGATTGTATGATACATCATTACATCATCCAACTTTAATCTGACTGTTAAGTTTGATCTGTGTGGATAATAGATAAAGACACTGTTTTTGACGTATTATTGTCTTATAAATGTAATTCCTTTGACATTTACCTAGACAACTGAGTGTTATGCTATTAATTTGTGATTTATGGGTCATGGATGCCAGAAGAGTATTAGTGGTGATAAGAATAGCAAGATTTGATTAGATATCATGACCAGTGCATTCTGGGTAACTTTTTTAAGTTTTTCTAATCTCTTCTTTATGATTGGCTTGCTCACAAGCTTTATCTGACAGGAGAGCTGAATAAACTGAAAGATCTTGTCGTTGAGGCGAAGAGTATGGGTATTAGAGTTGTACCTGCTCTGGTGAAAAGGATGCTGAAACAGAACATGTTTCTGTTTGGATCTGTAGACCTAAATGAAGGCTCTGTTACAGAGACAGTGAACCAACTCACAGACTTGCAGAATGCCCGTATCAAATTTGCATATGAGAAGTATTTTTTCAACATGAGAAACTTAAGTTGTTATATTCTTGCTTTTATACATTTGTCATAATTTCACAGTATCAGTTCATGATGATTTCTCTGCCTTTCTTTTTGCTAACAGATTATTCGCAAGCACTAGAATTGATCATTTTCTCCATATGGACATGGTAAGTAAAATAATTTGTTATAATAAAGGAAGATATGGTGCCCGTGGGCAAAAAAGTTGTATGGAGCATTAAGCTATATTGGATCTGTTTGTGTTATTGCTCACATCAGGGTATGGAAGTTGATCTGGATGTGCTCAAGAAAATGTCAACGGAATATACTAATGCCAAGAAACTAGCCATTGAAGGTACTTTTATTTCCTTTCTAGTGTTCTTGTTAGGAGTCACAAAATGATTAAACAAATAATTATGAGATGCATGTAATTATTTCTCAATATACCACTCTTCTATGTGCTGAGTGATACTTGGACTGCTCATGAAGATAAAGAAGAAGAAAAGTAAATATTTTTCAATAAACAACTCATACACTCTAATTATTGCATTCACTCTCACATGCAATGCAAACGCTGCTGACTAAGGTCTTTCATCCCACAATTTGATTAAATCTGCACTATTACTATTCGTTAGAAGTTCTGTTAGCCCTTTAACATTTTCCTCCTATTTGTGTTTCAAATTAATTTTTGTTACAGAGGCCAGCCAGGTGATAGATGTTGAAAACATAAAGCATATATCAGGTGATAAGGAATCAATCGGAGATGTAGTGGATAAAATTGCTGAGAACTGGAATGTCCAAAGAGAAGTATTTTATCAACAAACTAGCTTGAACCAGCAACCTGCTGAAGAACCAAAACGGTTACAACTGCCTGTTGAGCCGCGAGCAGGTGATGACGTCTTTGAACAAGAACTGGAACAGCTACTGCTTCAAAATTAAGTAATCTTCAAACTTGGAGCACAAAACTTCAAGCATCTCATCCTAGTTTTGTTGATCAAACACTGCCGGCTTTAATTCTCTTCGGTTAAAGAAAGCATCTCTAATTTTGTGGAATTTATTGAAGAAAGATGACGCATGTCCTGTGTTTTAGCATATCTTTCTATCTTCTTCCTTGAGCAGTTCAGTGAGTTGAATCGTTGCTGCAGATTCAGAGCAAAAATTTTATTTGGTTCCAGAAACCATGGAGGGTTTAAACGAATGAAGACATGTAATCTCTGTTTTAAAAACTAGACCGGACCAGCGGTCGGACCGGGACCCGGCAGCTTCTCCGGTCCGGTTCAGGTCTTATGGGGGTTTTTTTTATAATATTTCAAAATTATAAGGTTTACCTTGTAATTTTATAGGGGTGTTTTGGAGATATGTCAAAAGTTTAGGGATTAATTAGTAATTTTGGGGGTATTTTTGAAATAAATAAAAATTTTAGGGACTAATTAAAATTTTTAGGGGAATTTTTGTAATATATTAAAATTTGAGAGATTAATATGTAATTTTTTAAAAATAAAATTATGGCTGACATCATCAGTCCAATCGGTTGACTCGTGACCTAGACAGCAAAACGGGTTGCTCTTCAGTCCGGGTTTTTAAATTCATGTAATGCCGTCCACAACTTGTCACATTCTAACGCAATCTATAATTTATATTGTGTATTTTATAGTTTATTGGCATTTGGTTGTATAGCCGTATAGGTTGAGTTTATATTCTTTGAAGATAATATTCAATTTTTTGTGATGGTATATTGGTATTCAGGACAAGTATGCATATATTTGTTTGTATCAGAAATGCATTTTCAATAAAACAAAATCTTTAGCACAAAACAAGTTTCTTGGTCTTATTAATTAAGAGACTTGTCTATGTGGAGACTGGAGAGTATAAACTAATAAACCTGAAAGCTATGTACTATTTTAAAAATTTATTATAATTTAAAGAATGAAATTACAATATTTACCCTAATTTGAAATTAAATATAAATTTTTATTAGTTAATCAAATCTCAAAGTAGATATAGGGGTGGGTAGATCCGGATTCTCAACCCAAACCCTAGGAACAAGAGCTGAACTCGGCTGGTTCTTAGGATTTAGAAATCAAAACCGAAACTGATCGATTTAGGTTCCTAAATGCCTAGAATCGAAACCTGAATCATAGGTTTCGGTTTCAGGTACTTGACACTATTCACAAAAATGACAAATATATTATGTAAAAAATAAAAATACACCCCCAACTGTTTACAAAAATTATAATTACACCTCGATTACCCATCAATTCCACTCAAGGTACCCGAACCTTGGTTTCGGTTCTCTATTTTAGTTCCTAAAGTGGTGGAACCGAAATTGAAAGCGAAACTGCACGATGCTAGTTCCACCAAATTTGGAACCAGAATCAACCTTGTGAGGATCGATTCTGGGTAGCAACACCCCTAGTACTCGTCAGTTCCAGTTTTACCCTAAAAATTTGCACACCCCTACGTAGATATATTAACCTAATTAGAAATCAAATATGACGTTACATAATATGATATAACATGTTGATCATAATTCATGCAAGTTGTAGCCCATTTCCAATCTGACCCAGCCAAGCCCAAAATTTACCTAGTGTTTACTAGGGGTGTTCAAAAGAACCAGTTGGAACCAAACCGGCGGGTACCCTGGGTTTAGTTTCGGTTCCTACCCAGAACCAGTCGTCAATTGGTAGGTTTCGGTTCCAAATTTTTGGAACCGTTACTGTGCAGTTCCAGTTCCGGTTCCTATAGTTAGGAACCGGAACCAGAACCAAGAACCAGGAACCGAGACTAATATAAAATAAAATTAAAGATTAAGGGGGTTAATAAAAACTTTTGTAGAAAAAGTAATGTGAATATATTTCATAACATCTAAAGTAAGTTGGTTTGACTTTTGAGAATCTATCTTTACAAAATAATGGAGTTTGTAATTTTGAATTTATAATTTGTAATTTTATTTTTGTTAATAAGTGCCAGGTGGGGGGGTATTTGTAAGTTTTTAAGGGTTTTTTTGCTATTTTAAAAACTTTTGGGGGGTCATGAATTTTACAGGATACCCAGAACCGGAACCGGAACCGTTGTTACAGGTTCTGGTTCTGGGTATCTAGGAACCGGAACCGTCGGTTCTGGTTCTGGTTTCAAATTTCAAGGAACCGTCGATTCCGGTTCCTTCAAAAAGTGTAGGGTATTCAGAACCGAACACCCCTAGTGTTTACCATTTCACCATGACCCGTCACTCCCTCAGCATCCAGCAGGATGCCAAGTCAGCAACAAGATAGACAGCCAGCCAATCCAAATGTCTAACCAACATTACAGATCACGTACCGTTTTTACAGTTAAAAAATCTCGGTATATCCTCCCAGCATCTCGTTTGTCTTTCTCCTTCTATGCTCGGTATATCCTCCCAGCATTCGTCTTATCCTCTCTTATTTTCCCTTCTTAAAACACGTCCCCTATTTTTCAAAACTCACTCTTCTCTCTCTTTCTTTTTTGTTTTTTTTTTTTTTTTTTTTTCTCTCTTTCCAAACAATGTCTTACACAGCTCCATTTTTCAAACAACAATCACCACCAGCTCGCTTGCTCTTCTCTTTCACTTCCAAAGCTACACCGTTTCACTCTCTCAACTCTCTTCGCTTGTATAAAAACCTCTCCTTTCTTCCTCTTCTTCACAACACCAGCAGTCGTGTTCCAGCATCACACATGTCTCCACCGCTCCTGTAGAGTACGCGCCACCTGCACCTGACTTCAACTTCCACCAAGAAATCTCCCGCCTCAGAAAACTTATGTCAAGCTCTCCGTTTCGAAGTCCACTGAAACAAAAAATTTCAGTCTCGACGCCGACCACGAGTAAAACAGTTGTTTAATAGTAGTAATAATCATAACTACTTGGCTAGGGTTTTAGGTTCACTTACTTTGGATAGTACCAGTTGTTTCTGATCAAGTGTTAATGCGGCGGGGCAAGAGCACGTGCTTAATTTGGGAGGTGAATTTGTGGAGAGTGAAGTAAAGTCGGGGAGGAACGATATGAAGAGCGCGCTTTATGCGTTGGTGGAGATGATTGAGAGATGGGACGTTAATACTATCATCAAAATGTGGGTTTTGTGGTGAGAAACGGCTTCGTTTGGAGAATGAGAAAGTTAAAGATTTGAATAAGTTGTTGAAAGCTTGGCGGAGATTGAACAGTTTTGATTGTATTGGAGGAATTATTGGGTAAGAGATTGTTTTTGCTTCTATTGTATTGTGTACTTGTAATTTTTTTTTTTTTTTTACTTATTGAACCATTTGAATTTTACTTTGGCAACGTAAATGACATGCTGCAGATATCAGGTAAAGGTGCTGGAGCTTCTTGCCCAATCAAAATTTGAGGAACAGACAATGGGTCGCATCCAGCACATAAATGAATCCATGGAATGCCAGTTTTTAGAAGTTCATGTTCCTAGTGGACTTGATCTATCACAAAATACTGAGTATGCTTCTCAAGCAGCACTATGGGGAATTAAGGTTAGTAGCTAAAGTTTTCTAAATAATACTTTTACCTACTGAAAGGGCACACGATGTATGAAATAGGGAAGTAAAAAAATCAACTGGTTTAATGTGAATGAATTGTGTAGCTATAAAAGAGGACTGTTATATTAATTTGTATTGAGAGTTTGAATGTGTAACAGTACTTCAAGTTTTTTGTTGGTGTTGGCAGAAATGCTTTCACATGGTTTCTTTAAATAATAAGATATAATCTTAATTTTAGGGTCTGCCAGAGCTAGGCGAAATTTATCCTCTGGGAGGCTCTGCAGATAGACTTGGTTTGGTCGATCCTCATACAGGTGAATGTCTTCCTGCTGCAATGCTTCCTTATTGTGGAAGGACTTTATTGGAAGGTCTTATAAGAGATCTTCAGGTATAAGATCTTTTATACCTTTGATGCTTGACAAGAAAAAGTCAGCATTGAACTTGTTAATTAAGGATAATGAAAGTATGTGTGTTATTTATGATTACATATACGTTTTCTTTTACAATTGCAAGGCCAGAGAGTACTTGTACTTCAAGGTGTATGGCAAACAATGTATAACCCCTGTTGCAATCATGACAAGTGCGGCAAAGAACAATCATGAGCGTATCAGTTCTCTTTGTGAAAGACTTGGATGGTTTGGGAGAGGTCAATCAAGTTTCCGACTTTTTGAACAGGTTTTAAGTGGGAAAACATGAAGATTTCATCTACATTTGATTGTTGTTAAAATGACGTTCCTTCATTTTACTAATGAGCAGTTTATTCATTTAATAACAAAATTTATGAATTGCCAGCCTCTCGTCCCTGCTGTTAGTGCAGAAGATGGTCAATGGCTGGTCATGAGACCATTTGCGCCTGTGTGCAAGCCTGGTGGTCATGGTGCCATATGGAAACTTGCTTCCGACAAAGGCGTATTCAAGTGGTTCAGTGATCATGGAAGAAAAGGCGCAACTGTCCGACAAGTCAGGTAAGCTATATCTATTATGTTGAAAGGTTTCTAGTTTTCTTGAATTGCCTATCTCTGGACCTGACATGGACTTTGGAACCATGCAGTAATGTTGTGGCTGCTACAGACTTGACGTTATTGGCGTTGGCAGGAATTGGTATACACCACGGAAAGGTATGTTTATATTTGGTATTCTGATGTATTGGCCTTTCATTTTGTCTAACAAAAGCTATACACATACTACTTCGTAAATTAATTTTCTCCAGCATTTTTCCATGTATGCATCCAAGAAAAGTCTTAGTAAATGATTTAATAAACAAGCAGATGAAAAATAAAAAAAAAGAAGAGAGATGAGCAGATAAAAAGTAAGGGATTACCATACTGCATGTTGTTGACTGTCATCTGGGTATACGATGGCTATTTGGCCACAGTTTGGTTGACCCTATGGCATCTGATTGCTGTTTCTCATGTCTATCATGCTTAGAACCATCAAGATATCAAATGTGTCCATTTTGGTCACTCTTCTGAAACACAATTTCTTTGTGTGCCTGCATGAATTTACCCATCCCCATGCTGAAATTCTAAGTTTCTTAGTTAGATGTTTGGTTCTGAAATTGGACATGTAACAGAAACTAGGGTTTGCATCTTGCAAGAGAAGCTTAGGGGCTACAGAAGGAATAAATGTTCTACTTGAGAAGAAGAACCTTGATGGGAAGTGGGCATATGGTTTATCATGCATTGAATACACCGAGTTTGATAAGTTTGGAATCACAGGTGGACCTTTGTCATCAAACAGGTATGCTGTCATTTCTTGCTGTAAATTAACTTAATTACATGGCTGGATGCCCTTGCCCTCTTAAAAAATATTTATTTTGGCTGCATTTGCTAAATTGTAAAGCATAATTATTTTGAGCTGTGTAAAATGGAGCATCTTCTGCTCCTTGATTTTTTTTTTCTTTATAGCTCAAGGATTTACAATATGTTCTTATATCAAATTTGTCTGTTGTTCTTAAGTTTGCAGGCATTCCCTGCCAATACAAATATTCTATACGTGGATTTGGCTTCTGCGGAGTTAGTTGGTTCAAGTAATAGCGAAAAAAGTTTACCAGGCATGGTGCTAAATATAAAGAAGCCAATTGTGTATGTGGATCAATTTGGTGACTGCCACAGGTAAGACATCGTTTGACAACTTTCTCTGCTTTCACTTTGTTATTGTATTTCTAGTGGTGGGTTGTGATCCTGTCAACATAACTTCGATTGTGCTTCTACAAGAAATAAGGTATCCATAATTGAATAATGTTATGAGGCAATCACATTTTATTGTCAGGGTTAATGTTATACAGAACACATCCTATATATTTTTTCAATAAAACACTTGTAAAATGATAAGCTTGTAACAATAAAACTAACATCAGTGTTTAAACAAGTTCAACCTAAAGGAGGATGGTAATCGAAGTCTCTAAATCTAGCTCAAACAACATTAGTTGGTCATATGTGATTCTTCAATTTGAGTCCCATTGCAAGACTGAGACACATTGGGGCACAGATATACCTGAGGAGTTTGATGTTAATTGCATTTACATGTTTGAGAATCCTAGAATATGAATAAAATTTTCAACTAAATATTATGGCCAGTGATATTAGGTGGTAAGAGAGATCTTTGAGCTTTATGACAACCTCTATTGGAAATATCTCTTTTTCAATTATTTTACTCTCTGAGCAATTAAAGTACAGATATATCAGTTTTCAGAGATGATGTTTTAGAGCAAGTGCCTATTTATTTTTACTTGCAGTGTCTCTGGTGGAAGGCTGGAATGCACAATGCAAAATATTGCGGACAATTTTTCTAATGCATATCCATCTAGATGTTACAAGGATATAGAAGGTATAACATAGTATATATACATACCTTAGTTTTCATATTTTCTTATTGATTTCATGCAATCATTTTGCTAAACTATCCATACCGGATTTGCACCTCCATAGATCAATTGGATACATTTATGGTTTACAATGAGCGAAGAAGGGTAACGTCATCAGCTAAGAAGAAAAGAAAACATGCAGACATGTCTCTGCACCAGGTTACAGTTCTCTGGTTTCGTTTTATGTTTTTGTTTGTTTTGAATGGACAGTTGATCTAATGTTTGAAATATTTTTATGGTTAAATGCTAAATTTTTATTTAGGTCTTTAAATATCGTGTCTTCTTTTATATTGTTTTTGGCTTATGGTTCCCCACTGAATTGCTCCTCATTTTATCTTTTTCTGCTAAATGGCTAAAATATCATTGTTGTTTTTTTGTAGTGCTCTATTTTGAGCATGAAACAGTTCCTTCTATCTTATAGCTTCCCCAATGTTATTTCTAAGTTTTCCCATGTACATTCTGGTCACAGTTTTTGCTAACTGATGTTGGAAACTTCTATTGATCAGACTGATAAGATTTTGAACCTTGCAGTTTGTTACATAATGTCACTAGTTATGGTTTTGATGTGTGCAAAGGTTAATATTTCAAGTTTTGACTCTTCTGCAGACTCCTGAAGGCTCACTGTTAGACATCTTGCGGAATGCATATGATATTCTTTCCCAATGCAATATTAAACTACCTGAGGTATATCCTTTTGATTCTCTTCAAATTTATGCACATAATTTACCCATGTGAAATGAGTTGGATGTTGACACTAGCTCGTTCAGTTGGTTGGATTTCTTTGGGTGGATTAAGAGGTCTTGAGAACAAATTCACCTCACACCAGGGTGGGGATGGGTTTGAAGCTATCTAAACAGTAGTCTCTTTAACTTTTTGCAGATTGAAAGTAATGACAAATACATTGATTCTGGACCTCCCTATCTTATCCTTCTGCACCCCGCCCTTGGCGTACTTTGGGAGGTAACAAGACAGAAGGTAGGTTTATTGTGACTGTTTCAAATTCATAGTTTTGCTTTCCACGTATATCTTTTTACTTGCCTTAAATAGTTAATGCCTTTTAATAGCAACTAATCTGTATATTCCTACCCAGTTGCAAATGTTTAAACCCCTTGGTCTTCCCCTGTTCTTAAATTTTGTTGCTATCCCATTCACTTATTTAAGTGTCTTCTGTTGAGAAAAAATCTTTACCTTTCTCCTCATTTGTGGTATATCTTTTGCTGTAATATTTGGTGTGATACGGTCAATAATCAAAACTCATATGTTTGATGTTGTCAAAAATTAATTTCTTAACTGCTGAGCAACTGATTACCTTTATAATATCATTGTCTTCACCATCTCAGTTTAATGGGGGTTCCATTTCCATGGGCTCAGAGTTGCAAATAGAGGTCGCAGAGTTTTTGTGGAAGAATGTTCAGGTTACAAATATTCTGATAAATTTTTTTAATTAAAGCAAAACAGAGTGTTGTCATTATGCTAATCTGGTTTCTCATTTGCAGCTTGATGGAAGCCTAATCATTTTGGCTGAAAATGTTATGGGCTCAACTCAGATCAATAAAAATGGTGAATCGATATTACAGTATGGACATAGGTAAAACATTTTGTTCTTTCCTTAGATTTTTTATTGATAATAGCAATTTATTTTTTAGGGTCTCATTTGTGAGTAAATTTATTTAGGTGTGGAAGATGTAAACTGCATAATGTAAAAGTACTGAATAAAGGAATTGACTGGGGCTGTGGAGACAATACATACTGGAAGCATGATGTGCAACGGTTTGAGGCACTTAAGATCATACTGCATGGAAATGCTGAATTTGAGGCTACTGATGTCACTCTACAGGTTAGATTATGCGAGAAACAGTACTATTGTTAATCATAGGATAACTTAGTCAGTCTAATACCATGAAGTGTAACTTCATAGTTTGTCATTCTAAATATCGTGAAGTGTAACTTTAGAGTTTTAAAATTTATGCATGCTAGGGAATAGGACCTGCAACAAGAGGCCCTGCCAAAATCCTCTTTATGTTATAAGAAATGAATTATAAGGCAAGATCAACAAGTTTCTTTCACACAAATATGCACAGACACGTATGCAAATATAACCAATGCCTGAAAATGTTTTAGTCATCATGTAATTAGTAGTTTGCATGATAAAATTTGGTCTAATAAGGAGTTAAATTGGTTCCTTATTCTCTATTTTAATTGTTTAACTGGTTTTATATATGCCTTGCGCCTTGCGGAGATTTCCTGATGAAAGTATCTTGAGCTTTTTGTACCTAATGCAGGGAAATCATGTATTTGAAGTCCCTGATGGCCACAAATTGAAGATCACTTCTGGAAATTCAGGTCTTAATGATTTGATAACTTGGCATTTCTGAAATATTTGTGTGCTTTTTCTGCCAGTAAACTGAATCATAGAACATATCACTTCAATTGACTTTATGTTAACATATCATTTCAAATCTCTCTGCATCAATCTGCCACTTGAGGAATGCATACTTACAGTATATAAGTGTATGGTCTGTATAGCGTAATATTTGTTCCTCTTCATCTAGAATATGTTTCAAAAGGAAGTGAGTTTATTCTTAGTTTGGTATTGGTGCTATGTGGGGAAGCATTAGGTCAGACCTTAAGATTTGTGTTATACACATAGGATCTCATAGTTGTGTGTGGAAAATAATTTAATGTGCTTCCTGCATACATATTGTTCTCTCTATATGCAAATTCTGCCTGCAGATCATGCTGATTAAAGCATGGTCACTAACTCATTTAAGTTTTTTTTTCTTTTTGTTTTCTAAAATTCAGGTTTAGCTATTCAGTTGGACCCTATTAAACAGGATATGATGGATAGTGGAAGCTGGTATTGGAACTACAAGATAAGTGGCACCGATATTTTGCTGGAAATGATAGAGTCGTAAAACACTAACTGATCCTAGTTCTGCTTTATGTGAACTGTGGTTCACAAAAGTATAGTTGTTTAGCTCCTATTGGTTGAAACATAAGTTTAACCTTATTTAAACAGGATGCTATCCAATAGTATACGAATAGAGTCGTGAAAATTTATAAGGTCATGTCTACCTCTGATGTAATAGTATTTTTTATAATTTAATTGTAAAAACAGTGTAAAAGTTCTAGAAATGAAGATTAAATGTCTCATCCCTCTCTTTCTCTCTTTCCTTTTCATTAATATTTATTTGCTTGCATGTATCTATCAAGATAGTCTGGAAAAAGGTAAATCTTGTCTAACAACTCTTCTGGGGAAGTCAACTGGTAAGAGAAATATGGATTTGGTTTATTTTATTTATGGTTGTGTTTCTGTGACCCTTTTTTTCCTCCCTCCTTCTCAGGGTGAAGTATCTCTAACTACAGATTAGTGAAGATCCTGTGACAAAATAAAGGCTTATTTGCTGGGAACTGAATTGGGCAACCTGCATGACTTCGTATGGCTTTTTTGATTATCTTCTTATTAGATTGTTTTGGTAATCATAAGCTACTCTACTGTACTGTATTGTGAACCATAAGCCAGTGGACTTGTTATCTGGAATGACGTTTTACCAATTGATCTGAGTTGTTTGATTCACATTTTGAATACAATTTTATATGGATGAAGCAGTCTGAACACAAAATTTGCTTCAGTTAACTGCTTTGTAATGATGCTTTTGGGCAGAGGTGGAGATCCAGAGATTTTTTCCTTAGTTGGGCATGTTTTTATTTTTAGTTTTAGCATGAGCTCGAACATCAAAATGACATTGTAAAATATGGATGAATTCATTAAATGAAGCAGTAACGCGTGAGTCTCAATTACAGAACAAATCAACACTCGTATGAAGTTTGAAAGATCCACAAATATACACTTCTGGAATCTGAGTTTTCTGATACTGTTATCCTACAGGATTGTGAGATTGAGAGCAGCATCGGTTGAGTAATCTGAGGAGTGCATCAGCCTTTCTGCGAGCTTTCAGAGACCCAGCAGCAGCCAGGCTTTGCAGAGAAGGTATACTCCGAGGATTTATTAACAAACGTCTTGCTACCTCTTCTCCACCATCCTTGCACAGTCCCAGCAGGAGAGTTATTGAGTTCTCCTTGCCTTTGGCAGATCCAAATCTTAGGAGGTCAATAAGAAGAGGAACCAGAACTCTGCTTTTCCTTATCTCCTGCAGCCCTTGAGAGCAACCAATAAGTAAAGCTAGTATCCCCAAGGCTTCATCTGTTATACCTGCCTTGTCATCCATTAACAGGTCAATGAGCAGAGGAACTGCCCCGGCCACTATAACAGTAGCCTTGTTAGGATTATAGACTGCTAGGTTGGATAGTGCAGTTGCAGCATCTCTTTTTCCAGCTGCTGTGCCTTCTCTCAGGAGCCCAAGTAAGGCTGGAACTGCTTTAGCATGTGCTCCAATTGACGCCTTGAAATCATCAATTATTGACAGGCTAAATATGGCTGCAGCTGCATTCTCCCTTGCCTCCATGGTTTTTCCTGATTCCAGAACATCTATTATGTTGTCCATTGCTCCAGCTGCCACTATTAAAATCTTATTGTTGTCGAAAATTGAGAGGTTGAGTAAGGCAGTGACAGCATTTTCTTGAATTCTTGGATCATGGGAATTTAATAGCGTTACGAGGAATGGAATAGCTCCTGCCTCAGCAATTATCCTTCTATTGTCCATACCGGTTTTTGCAAGTAACCGCAGCTCATAAGCAGCTTGCCTCTGAATGTGCGGGGAACCCATTGCTAGTTTTCCCACCAAAAACTCAGCTGTCATTTTGACAGCATCCATGGCAACTTTGGTGGCAGAAATGTGATCAACAGCATTCTCAAACTTCCTCTTGCTGTTGCATCTCTCCAAGTCCGAGGAGGATGAGGATGCACATTCTATTACTGGAATATTATTCTCCTGGCACCATTGATGCACTAGACTCTTTAGTGCATAATTGGGTATGAGAGCCATGTGAATTAGCGTTTGCCCACTTTTAGGACAAGTGTGATGCCCAGAATTTATCCATTGAGAAATTGAATTCCGATCATAAGTATGCCCAGAGGCTACAATCACTGGGTCTCTCATCAAGTCAAGTGTTATTGGACATCGAAATTCGTCAGGAATAGGAACCAGTGATTGAGAAGTCAAGAACTGATCAAGATCTCTGCTCGAAGCAGAGCGCTGCTTGATGTCTTCTTTGGCCTTCTCATTTTCTTGGCTACTCAAAATCATTGATTTTGAATATGAAACAAGGGATATGAGATTGTTTATGTTGGAGACCACAATTAGCCCACCTGTTCCTGCCTGCTTTTGCGCTTCTGCCTCTAGTTTTGAAATTTCTTCTTCATAATCCAATGGACTTCTCAAGCCAATGCTACTTAAAACTTCTTCCAATTTGTCAATATCAATGAAGCCCTTGTATTTGGTGTTCCTCTCATTATTAGAGGCCATTACTTGCAGAAGATCCTCTCGTCTTTGAAGCTCTTTAGCATCCAGAAACAACTCTACCCTCTTTGCTTGCTTGTGAAGAAGCTCAACTTGCTCTCTAATGTCTGCGGTTATATTAAGCAAACTGAGGGGTAAAATATCAAGTGCTCTTCCCATCTCCTTCACCAATGCATAAAACTGATTGGAAACAAACCCTGTCTGTAGTAGGCCCCAAAGACAACTACCATCCTTGCACGCTTGAATCAAGAACTTAACTCTTCGAATCACTGAAAAGAGCTCGGTGAGGCACAGGATTGAAGATGGAGGAAGAGGACTATTGGTTTCTTGAATTTCTTCAAACAGAGAGGAAAGAAGTTTTATCCTCCTTATCATTGTTGAAACATTCCTAACCTGTATGCAAGGAAGCTTTTCCATTGAAGCAACTTCATTGGATATATGAATCAAAGATTCCAGCAAAGTCCCGGTTGGCAGTAAGCCTGAGGACGCCATGAAAGGAGGAAGTGACACATCCATTATTTCTCACTTTGGAAGTCAGTTTCTCTTCATTGTTATTATCACAGTTTGTTAGGGTTTAGATTACTTGAGCAAAAATTTTCTTTCTTTTCTATTATTTTAACATAGGATATTTACCAAAAAGAAAAAAAAAAATCATTTTAAAAGCTCCATGGATTTTGACTGTTTCTGTTTGTACAGTAAACGTAAAAGACAATAGCAAAGCTGGTAGGAGGGGAGAAGAACTTCTGGGAATGCTGCCATTTGGAGGAATTTCCGGCTTTGGTGGGTTAGTTACTTAGTTATATTCCCCGCCAATTGTATATTCAAATTAAATATTGAATGAGTCTTGTCAAACTGTTGAATTCGACCTCTTTTAGTAGATTAGCAAATATTAATGTCCATAGTTAGAATTCCTCGTTAAGGAGTCTGATATATGAATGGTCAGAACTTAAATATATTTATAATAAATTTCTGAGTAGGCAACTTGACGTTTCCTCCATGTACAGTGCTGCAAATTNTTAATTTATACAATTAAATAATATATTGATAATTTAAAAAATTTCCATGGTTTAAAGGATATTAATTTATCCTATCTTAATTGTATATTAAAATGCTAAACCTAGATTATAATTAACCAATAATCAGGGCCATCTCTACAACATTTGTGACCCTAGGTAGGAGTTATTTTGGGGCCCTCTAATAATATAAGCATATATTAAAAAAATTATTTTATTTTATTTTATTTTATTTTTTTATTTTTTTACCTTTTGAGATGAAAAATCACTAAAAGAGGTGGACAGCAATCGGCAAGCTAACAAGGTTAGGTTGGTGAGGGGTTTTGGAGAGTAGATGTTGGAGAAGTGATGGGTGGTGACATGGGTGATTTTCAATGCCAAGAATAATAAGAAAAGGCTTGAGAAGTCACGGCCCAAAAGGTATCGGTGGCCGACGATTCGCAAAGTAAACGGATGAGGTATGATAGGGGTTTTGGTGAGAGGGTGAGGGGAGGAAGATGGTGGTGTCGGGAAAGGCCAATAATGTTGGTTACATGTCGAAAAGGCTGGAAATGGTTGTCGTGTGATGGAGTTGGGTTGCGAGATTTATCAAAAATTACCCAAATCGAGGGCTATCAGGGTTGGGAAATGATAAAATGATGATTTCGATCGATTTTGGTGAGAAAATCGACTGAAATCAACTCCAAACCACTAGCGGCAAGAGAGGGCTAAAGATGATTTATGTGAATGTCAAATTTTGGGATTGAATTGGGGATGAGTAATTTGAGATATGTAAATGACTATTTTAGCCATTCATTGTTAAAAAAGATTCAATGTGTTAATTTAGAGGTATAAACTGGAATACATGAAACTAGAGGTATAAACTTGTTATTTTATCAAACTTTGGGTGAGAATATATGTAAAAAGTTTATAATAAATTTGGGATTTTTGTGGCTTTTTTTGGGGGACCCTTTGGCTTGATAAAAAATTATGAACCATTTTCATTTTAAAAGATATTCAGAAAAAAAAAAAAAAAATCTAAAAAATTTGAGCTCCATTTTTTGGGGCCCTAGGTAGGTGCCTCACCTGCCTACCCCTTAAGCCGGCTCTGCCAATAATTAAGGGTGGGTTAAATCATTTTTTCTGTAGAAATTTCAAATTCGTATTCTTGATGCTCATATCACATCAAATGCATGGGGCCGTCCCACCATTAAAGTATGTGGGTCTCTGAATCCGGTCTCAACTCTCGAGAAGAAAAATAAATAAAGTAACAAATGCTGGGGCCGTTCCACCATTGAATAGATAATTTCATCCAGGTGATGTCATCCTTGTGACGTATGAATGGTTCTCGTGGATAAAGTTGAAAAAGACTGAACCACTGTCGGAGGCACTGCTTGCCTTTTCTTAGAAATTTCTGTTACTTTAGGGTTTTTTTAAGAATTTTGTGTATATGTATTTTTTATAATATTAAAAATGACTTGAAAAGATAAAAAATAAAAACATAGTATATTTGTTTGAAAATAATATTTCAAAATTTGAAAAATAAAAATACGTTTGAGATATTCGTCTGAATATAAAGAAAAAAAAATAAAATCTATCACTTATTTTATCCCTTTCAAATAATTTATCTTAAATACACAAGTGTTTAATTTCTATTAGTAATTTCTTGTTGAACCGAAAGTTTTTACTTTAAGAGGGAAAAGAGTAAAATATAATAGAAAAAAGAGAATATAATTTTTAATTGGAAAATGTGTCGGGCATGTTTGGCTTATTATTATTATCCATATTCTCAATCCTATTCTGCAAATAATGTTTGGCACATTATTCCAGAAATATTACCCTATTTTTTAATTACTTTTAGACCCCAAAAGATTATTAATTTCATTAAATACCCCCTAAAAAATTTAAAAAGTAACAAAAACACCCCCATGACCCATACTTGCCAGATTCCGGCAACCACCGTCGGTGATAACCGGAATCTGTACAACAGCCTACCTGCCGACTATAAATGGCCGGAAGTTCATCGATCTGGCCGTCAGCGATGACCAAAGAAATGGCCGTCGTTGACCAAAAATGACGGCCACATCTAGATGGCCGTTGTTTTGGCCTTTTCCGACCGTGACGGCCGCAGTAGGCCGTAGATCTGGCCTTTTTCGGCCAGATCCGTGGTGGATCTGGCCGGAAAAGGCCATAACGACGCGGTGCGGCACATATCTTATTGGTCTGTGCCGTAACGAAATTTTTCGGCCAGATTCCGGCGGTGGTGGTCAGAATCTGGCACTGCAGGTGGTGGGAGTGTTTTT